GAATACTTTTGATATTTTAGTTGACTCCATTATAGAATGCAAATTGCATCATTTTGACACTTTAATCCAAATCATGAGGAGATTATGTATAACTTTTGAAATCATAGGGGAGTTATGTGAAAAAGCATTAAACTACAGAGGGGTAGAGTGTATTTTATACTCTTTTTTTTTAAAATGTCTTTCCTTTCAAGCACGTAGTGCAAAAACGCATTATAACTCAATTAAGTGACCCCCTCAGGAATCTCATTTGTTTACGTATCAGCTCTTCTTGTTAGTATTAGTTGCAATGGTCCCCAGAAATCTTTTGGTGTGAAGGTAATCTCGTTTATAATTATCAATTGAGATGGTCCAGGAAACACTGGCTTGTACGAATCTGATCACACGAGACTGCATCGTCTGTTAACGTGTCATTTTTCCACTCCAGTAATAGAAAATGAGGACTCATACCCCAAATCGTGTTGATGGAGAACCCTTTTGCTGACACAGTCCAAAGATGAAATAAGTATGTCATCTCGTTCATTTAAACATAAACGTTGTTCCAACAGGTGTTGTATGTTTCAAAATTTAATGCAAACGCAGAGTTACAGATTAGCAGCATTTTCCGTGAGCGAAACTCATCATAACATGTTTCTTTTGTCAAGAACCCAAGAAAAGTTTTTTGGGCATGACATCTCATGAAAACCCAAGATTTTTTATAGACATCTCATGAAACGTTCAAAGCTCCAACACCACAAGCTAAGATTGAATTACACCACCAAACATGATATTGCCATATTTTGCGCGTGTGAAGAAACCTTGCTAAAATGCTACCCACCAATTTTTGATTGCGGAGAACAGGCAACTGGACAGGATGATTCGAAAATAGCAATGGCTTAATTTGATGAAGTTACTGAGCATTGGAAACAGATTATATCGCTTACCCCATATGCATGAATGAAGCCATTTGCCTCACATGCCCATTTCTAAGTTGTTTTTCAGACTAAAAGTTTTCTAGACAATCCGAGAAATCTGCCTGTGGAGGGGAAATTTAAAGGAGAATTACGTCTCGGGTTAATATGAATTACACGCATCTAAGAGAGCTCTATTGATTTGATTTCTAGATAAAAGAGAATTCTACCAACTAATTCTTTTTAAAAAATTGATCACCATGACAAGTACGTTTAGATGGTGGTGTGGGACTTTGAAAAGAACGGGAAAAAAAATTTTATTATGCTTTTTTCTCAATTTTATTAAGGTTAATGATGTAACATCTATGGACAATACTGGTTTTTAAAAAAAAGAGGTACAATAACATGGTATAATTATTTATTAAGAGTGGTAAGTAGACGCCCGCTTTGGTTTTGATGTATATGAAGGACTAAATCATCAGAAATAATGTGCAAATTTGCATGACTGATACTATTGTTTTGTGGTTGCTAGTTTGGTATCATCTTGGTGCTTACGACTAGATCTAAAAAGCAATTACATTTAAGAATGTGAGGCAACTTTTGGGAGGGGAAGTTTACGTGGTTGATGGCTCTCCACGATTATCTATGAAAAGTATTGTTATCACAAGAATCAGGCTACTCCTCTTGCTTTTCAAACCTAGCATATGAAATTTGGAGAAAAAAAGGGGAAAACATGCAAAATATGGTTTTGAACGTTTCTCCATCCTCCTTATCATCTAGAAAGAGAGTTGATAAAATTTACCAAAAGTTTGCTATGTGGGATCCTTACATCTATTTTATACATCATGTCAATACTGTATTTTATACATCATGGTCAATTCTATACGTAGTTCGAGAAAATCAAACTTTAAATGCAACTTAATTACTTGCAAAAGAAAGTCTTTGCACATATTCTTGCCGATCAAAGTTTATCGATGATTTGTAACAACAAGCTTCTTCATTTGGAAGTAATTGGTTTTTTTTTTTTTTTACTTCTCAAATCATGACAAATATTTTGGAATGGATTAAAATTAAAAAAAAAGTACGATGACAAATAAGATGGATGGGAAGGAGTATAAACAGCAAGTCTTGGTACCGGTTTATGCTTTGGTTTCATTGTTCCATCAGAATATGTAGATGAATAACATTGTCGTATAAATGTACGTAGGGGTTGGGTATTTCACACTGGATATTTGTTCAAAAGTGTAAGAGATTAAAACCATATTTGATAATCCAATTCAATATTTAAATTTAATGAATTTATATCTTGATATACTCAGACACGTTTGATAACCAAAATAAAAACATTTAAATTCATTAAATGGTATTGAATTTACTAGGTAAAATTTGCTCCAAAAAATTAATGTTAAGTTATTTACTTATTATTTAACGTGATATATACACAAATGTATCAAATTTAGTATTTAACAATTCACTAATTTAATGGATTCAGATTTTAGATTTTAATTTTATCAAATGCACCTTAAGAGTTAATCCCATCAGAAATCTCATCAAGAAAAAAAAAGAATCTCATCAGAAATAAAGAAAAGGTAAGACTTAGACAACGGTTAACTATTTTTGCCTTTTCTAGATCTCAAACCAAATGGCGGTTTTGACTAGCGTCAATCCCTTCCATATGTCCCCCTGCATTGTATCAAAGAATGATACGCTTTCGAACATGCATTTCATGCTAAGAATAGACCCACCAATTAGTACTGTATAATCTGCTGCAGATCCATGTTTTGACCAAATGCATTATGAAATGGGGGCTGAGATGTTAATCAGTATTTAGCTTTGAAGTTCAGTTCTTGACCTGATAAACGTACCTAGATTCTTCGTTTAAGAAACTTTCAATGTTTGAAGTTCTCCGCCAAATGCGAATTTTTCCACAGCATAATTAAGATTCAGCAAAGAGCTAGAAGGAGTCAAAACCGAAAAGTACCGCTTTCTTTGCGTTTGATCAACACATCATTATAATGTGAGACGTGCGCAGTCAATCATTTCACATCCCTACCTTGATAGCATTTGTCGCAAACTTTGATTAATTAGGGCAAACGTAAAAAAGAGTTCCTTTCATATTTACAAGAATTGACAAATTCATCATGGGCATGCACGTTGTCCCCACTTCAAGTTTACATTTTCTTTTTCTAAGTAGTAACATACATGCATAGTTATTAAACTTGCCCTGGAAAGGAACCCAACAGAAGGATCGAATTAATGGATCATTGGTTCAACCAATAGGTTACTGGTTTAACCGATGTGTATTAATTTAATATTTATAAATATAAATAATAATTTTAATATACATAACTATCTAATAAAATATTTTTAGATAGTAATTATTGTACTTAGAAAGATATATAATGAATATATAGATATTAATAGAATATTTAATTTCATTTATCATACTTTTACATAAATAAATAATATAGTCAAATATAAAATAAAATTGTGTCACTTGTTTTAAAAAAAAATATAGCATTATGTTTTCACTATTTTATTTTTAAAATAAAATAATTTTCTAACGACTCAAATATTTTTAGTTTGAAAGTTAAAAGGATTAATTGTATAATAAAAAAGTAAACAAGTTTTTTTAAAAAAATTTTAGTTATCAAACAAAACAAAACAAGTGGTAAAGTCTTATATATATTTAGATGGAGATCCAATGTATACATTTTGTCAAAAGTGTATATACATTTTGTTTCAAAAAATAAAGACCCACAATTGAAAAAAAAAATTAGGATCAATTGGAAAACTCGGCGGATTCCAGTTGAACTAACGGGTCAAATGGATTTAATCAGGTCTATATCTTATATGGTCAAACTAAATACCCGACTTGACCTAATGGCCAGGTCATCATCGGTTCGACTAATTCAACCATCAGGCCGAGCCGATTTAATTACTTTGCCTACATGAGGACTTGTTCTTCATACCCAAGCGCTTGAGAAGAATTACAAGGAATGCTAAAGCAAAACGTCATATCCCCATACATGCAAAATTCTGTGGCGAACACAGTATCACTTGATTAAATTAGCAAACATTTTACTAATAAACTTATTTAATATTGGACTGGTAGCGTAATTAAGTTCGAATCTTAACTTCTGCAGCTAAAATCGACTGCTAATGTGATAATTAACAAGTTCATTCGTGCATGGTTCTTCCAAGGTACAATTGTTTCAAAGATATTAAAATATAAAATTAAACAGGACTCTACTAAAAAAAATAACTTTAAAAAATTTAAAGCCAAAAACTCAATATAAACATATAATGTTAATGTGAACTTCTCTTTATCAATTTATGGATACGTTATTGCTCCCATTTGCCAAAGATCCTAACATTATTGGTGCAGCAACTTTGTCTTTAAACTACCATATATATATATATATATATATATAATTCCAAAATACATTTAAGCACATAGAATAGGATGCTTTGTCAATTTTTTTACTAGAAATTAAACTAATAAGATACTTTATCTGCACAACCAACAGATTATCATCTAAACATATATAAAATGTTTTACAATCTTTGCCGACTTGCAAAGTAGAAACAAAATGGAGGATGCAAAACAACAAGAAAGTACCAAATAAAAAATAATTCTTTATCATTTTTCAGTTATTTGTAAATGTAAAGAGAATCAGAAATCCACTGGAGTGACGAAACAAAACAATATGTCAGCGAATAGGTTGAAAAAGACCAGATTACTAATTACTAGTATTATTATACAGATACGTGACATAGAGCACGTGATTGAATTGACTGCCGAAGTCGACAAATCGCCACCCCCCGTTAAAAAACGCTATTGTGACCCGGGACCCGCTTTTTAAATTCGGCACGCGTTTTTTATGCCAGTTGATCCGTCGAGCTCGTGTTCTTTACTTTTTGAGGTGAACTAGTTGACACTTGACAAGGTGCCAGTTGCAGTTCGCAGTAAACTTTTAAACTGGAAAATGTCTGAAATCAACTAACTGTCCCTAGTTGTCTCTTTGACTCCACTCGTAAGCCCATCCAACCTGCCCTATATATATACAAATATATATATGTGAATTGGAAACTGAAAGTTGAAACCATCCCATATATTTCCAGCATCAATCATCTACCTTCTTCTTGCTTATTCATTTTGCTCTCCATCATATATCTTCTCGTCTTTCTAATATTATTTTGGTCATATATGGCTTCTGTTGAATATACCTTTTGGTTGCAAGTTCTGCAAAAAGGGTTTGGATTCTTGTTCTTCGGTTTCACAATCTTGTTTTCATTTTTATCAGTTTTGGTCTATATCTTGAGATTGAAGCCATGGTGTAGCTGTGATTCGTGTAGAAGTTATTTGACTTCGAGCTGGTCGCATGAGTTTAACAATCTTTGCGATTGGTATTCTCATCTTCTACAGAAAAGCCCGACTGGGACAATTCATGTTCATGTTCTTAGCAACATCATCACTGCCAATCCCAAGAATGTTGAGTATATTATCAAGACACGGTTTGAGAATTTCCCAAAAGGGAAGCCTTTCTCTGCTCTTTTGGGTGATCTTTTGGGCCGTGGAATATTCAATGTTGACGGCGAATCGTGGAAGTTTCAACGCAAAATGGCCAGTTTGGAGCTGGGAAGTGTCTCAACAAGGTCATACGCGTTCCAGATTGTTGCAAATGAAATCCGGACAAGGCTTGTACCTCTCTTGTCATCAGTTGCAGGTAAAGAAGGCAAAGTTTTGGATTTGCAAGATGTGCTTAGGCGATTCTCCTTCGACACAATCTGCAAATTTTCATTCGGGATGGATCCTTCTTGTCTTGAGTCATCCCTCCCGGTTTCGGAATTGGCAAATGCATTTGATCTTGCTACACAATTATCAGCTGCGAGAGCAATCTCAGCTTCCCCCTTGATTTGGAAGCTGAAGAGGTTTCTCAATATAGGAAGCGAGAAGAAGCTCAAAGAAGCCCTTAAATTGGTGAATTCCCTCGCGGAGGGAGTCATCAAACAGAAGAGAAACATGGGTTTTTCTTCCCAGCAAGACCTCTTATCGCGATTCATGGGCAGCATTGAAGATGACAAGTATCTAAGAGACATCATAGTTAGCTTCCTTTTGGCGGGGCGAGACACGGTTGCTTCTGCCTTGACCTGTTTCTTTTGGTTACTGGCAAAGCATCCAGAGGTTAAACAAGCAATTCTTGACGAATCAAATCATATCATGGGTGAAAATATTTCAGCAGACAACCTCGCGAGCTTCGAGCAAATGCAGAAGATGCATTATTTGCAAGCAGCAATTTACGAGAGCATGAGGCTATATCCACCAGTTCAGTTTGATTCGAAGTATTGTCAAGAAGATGATGTTCTTCCTGATGGTACTTTTGTCAAGAAAGGCACAAAGGTGACTTATCACCCTTATGCAATGGGTAGAATGCAAAGCATTTGGGGTCCTGATTGCCTTGAATTCAAGCCAGAAAGATGGTTGCAAGATGGGAGATTCAAGCCAGAAAGTCCATTCAAGTATCCAGTTTTCCAAGGTGGCCTTAGGGTTTGTTTGGGCAAGGACATGGCCCTGGTGGAGATGAAAAGTATTGCTCTCTCATTAATCAGGCAATTTGAAATCCAAGTTAACGCCCCAACAAGTGATACACCTAGATTCATGCCAGGATTAACAGCCAGTGTTAGAGGTGGACTTCAAGTACAGATTCAAGAAAGAAGAACGAAATCCAGCTAGGCAGACCATCCTGTTCATCTGGTCCATTTTAGCCTCGTCAAGAAAATGATCGATGTTCAAATTAACGTGCCAACCATTAATCGGCTGAACATCTTGCAACACAAGTATCATATCACCCCCAAAGCAAAATCAAGATCTTTTTTTTTTTTTGGGGGGCATGAGATTTTCCTTGAAATGGAGATTGAAGGCCAAATTAATGCTCATTCTGGCCTTGAAGAAACCTCTGAATTTCACACCACAAAGACCAGAACACGAGTTGTAGATTTAGCAGGAGCAGATTTGTAACCAATAGACATGTTGACATGGACTAATATTTTACGTATTCTGCAATGGGTACAAAAAGAATATACTAGTATATAGTCTGTGCCATTGTGGATCTGGGCATGACTTGATCATTACCTATAAAAGAATGTTACAATATTGCGGGTTTCGTATTGGGTGACCTCATAATTCTTGTACACGTCTGAACAATTTATGTGGCACCTGCCTGGGTTGTGTGGTACAAATTTATCGAAGCCTATCATTTGTTTTTTTTTTTTTTTGTTTTTGGCCTTTTGGCTTTGTCATTTGTTTTTATGGAAATTGTCATCATGTATACATCAAACGAATTATGGTATGAGGACAAATGCCCATTATCTGTTTAACTGAATATAATAAAATTTGGTTGGAAGAATGCCCACAAATTGTCTATCCACCTGTCAGAGTTGGAAGAATATGATAAAATTTGGGATCATAATTCATGTGGGATGAAGATGCCATGTACTTATCTTGAGATTCTTGAAGATTTTGCTGCAAGGCAACCTTTGTTTATTTGGATTATTTAAACTTTATAGACTTGACTTAATGGTTTGAATTCCAATGGGTGACATTGTACAATGGACTGCCGCCTCCATTATTTAATTTCTAGAAGTAATTGCTATTTTGAATCCATTAAAAGAAAAAAAGTGACCTTCTCTTTGTTCGTCAATGAAAGTTAATTTAAGGTATTTGTGGTCATTGTATGGTATGCGTACAGACCCAATTATAAGTAACAATGGTTTGAAACTATTTGCACTATCTAAGATTTCACTTTTTTCAAATAAAGTGAGATCACTTTGTGTAGCTTCTTGGTTTACTATATATATATATATATATATATATATATATATATATATATATATATATATATATACTCAAAATTTTTAGTGAAGATGTAATAAAATTCAAGGGATAATTTCTGAAACCTCCGGTGAGGTTTTTGATAATTGTAACTACATCCCTTGAGATTTAAAAAATTACAGAAACCTCCTTTAGAAAGTATGTTTTGATAGCAAATGGTGATGTAAGCATATCCTATATTACCCCTATTTGATTTACACCATAAATTAAATGACAAAAGAAATCAAATATCAGCATTACTCGCTACGTAAAAAAATTTAAAGTAATTCTTTAAAGCAAAATTTAGGCGATGTTTCAAGACACCATTTTTAATGTTTGACTTCTTTTTTTTCTTTTTGCCAAGTAAGTTGTGAATTTGCTCCAAAAAAGTTCATCCTAGCTACTAGTTGGTTATTTATAAAACTAAGCAAGGAGTCCATTTAAATGACCTAGAAATTGAATATAATATATTAAGTGAGATGAGGTGAGAGTTTTTGGATAAGGAAATATTTGCAAAATATGATTTTTTTTTTCTTTACACCCACTTTTTACTTAGAATTCGCAGAGTTGTCAAGGCTATTATAGTCTTTTCATAACATTAAGGAAGGTAAGTATAGTTTTTCAAATCTCAAGGGGTAGCTGCAATTGTCAGAAACATAAGGGAAGTTTATCAAATTATCCCAAAATTCAAATGGTCCACTTTGGATCAACAATTCCCAACCACCAAAAATGGGGGCGGCCTGAAATTCACGAGGGTCGGCGTACAGACGATGTCGGTTGGTTTATGGGTATTCTTTAATAGAAGCATTCATGTGTCAACTTTCAACCTGTGAGCTTTGAGAATGGTGCTTGGCGGTGATGCAGTCGACAAGTCAACTGAAGATATTTAAGTGTTAATCATGAATAGGCTGAACTAACAAGTGCAATTAATGATAAAATAATCCACTTAAAAAAGGTGCATTACGCGCGTTAATGAGAATCATTGCTCTTAATCTAAATCAGAATTAAGAAAAGACAAAAACCATTTTTCCAAAAATAAAAAATAAAAATTCAATTTGGTATGCGAACAGAGGACTACTACTTCCCAGATCTCAAATTGAGCCCCAAAAAAATTTTTTTTGTTTCATTTGGCAATTGCAGAAAAAGCTAAACATAGAAGAAAATTAAAATTTTGAGAAAAGGGATTTATATTTAGGTAAATTTAAAAGTGACAAGGCTGATTTTTTTTTTTTTGGCTGTGAAGAGGAAAGGAAATCAAACCTTGGAAGGCATAAATGTATTTGCATCCCTAATTAATTCTCTCTGTATGCTTCAGACGTGATTAAATTAATGAGCCACGTGTGATTAACTAGCCTTCCTAGGTAGGACCTGTTGAGATTGAGTGGAATAGTTAGATTTACGACAAGAATAGAAATTGGTTTTAACTATTTATAGAGGTATGGTACAAAGGTTAATTGTTATTATTATTATTTTAACAATGGTTAATTGTCACTTTTGGTATCAAGTATTAGGGTCCTACTGGTGCAAAGATAACATACTTTTTTCACAATCATTGATTGATTTAGTAGTAGGGAGAAAAAAAAAAAAAAGGCTAAACACTTCCACAAGATTGATGCTTTGATTTGATCCAAGCATTTTACACAGTTGATAGCTTGAGCTTTCTTTTCACAAACCATGATTGGCAAATTTTATTCTTCACAAATAAATGAAATGCTGCCATATTAGCACAATGTTTTAGATTAGCATAATTTCTAAAACGGCATAATGTTCCTAAGAGGATGTACCAGGACTAGCTTAACAGTATTTTCTTTTCGTGGGAAAGCACATGTATGGAAGAAAAAGAAAGAAGAACAAAAGTTGCCATAAGTATGGGAAGAGGCAAATGACATTGGCAATTTACCATAGTCAAAATTTCAATAGTACATTAAAAATGAATAAAAATGGCAAGACAACCTATTTCAAATCAATTTTTGGTGGTATTTGATTTGAATTAAAAAGAGTAACTTTGTGTTTTATTAAAAAAATTATTGTAATATTAAACTTTTGAATTTTGGTAGACTTGTGAGATGACAAAGGATTGCGAAATTAGGGCTTATAATGAATTAAATCTAAAGGGGGACCGGTTGGGTCACCAAATTTGAGAAATCTGTATTTGGGCCATGAGGCCTCCCAAATTGGATCTTATTTCTTTGTACTGTGGGATTGTTAAACAGAACCAAAACACACTGGAGAATCAAGTAGGTCAATGGATAGGGTTTGAATTGGATCATTTTGATACAAATTTAAACCTATTAAATTTAGTTAGATCCAGATCCAGATTCGAACCTTTATGGGTCTGAAAAAATAATTCTAGTCTTAGACCCTCGTAGATCTAAGTATCCAATGGATATCCATTGTATTTTTCTAAACGTATTAAAGTAAAAATATTTTAAAAAATATAGAGTTGAAAAAATAACATGAATACCATTCAAGTTTTATTTTCAAATAATAAATTTAATATTTAAAAAGTTGAATGCAATATTATGAACTTAAAAAAGAATTATGATCGACCACTTCTATTTATTTTTAAAACTTTAACTGTATCCACGTCCAATCTTTCATTTATTGCCTTTACTTTTTCTCCTTTTCTTAAAAAAATTTATACCAATTATAATGACAATTAAAATTAGTTAGAAAAAAGAAAACAATCATAAAGTGTTGCTGCATTCGATCCAACAGTCATAGAATATTAACCTATTTTATAAATTTACTAATATACATAAATGCATACATATATATATATATATATATATCTATATGTGTGTGTGTGTATATATACACACACACACATCCATACATACATATACACATGAGTCTGAATAGAGACTAATATGGAATTGGATCTTGGTATGAATTATAGAAAATTAAACCCTACCCAAACCCATAATTTTCTTACGGGGTTTGAGTCTGAGTAGAGCTTAGGTTTGAAAAATCAAATCTAAACCTTATTCAAGTATACTAGGTTTGGGTTAGATTTGGGTAAAATTTGACGTATATATTGACATGCCTAAACTCACAAGTTGCATAGATTTCAAATTGATCCATGGCCTATTTTCAGACAAATGTTTACATTTTTTCTTGAAACAGTAAGTTGACAAATGTCAAACGCACCATTTTGTATATTTCTTAGTTTGGATGATCACTAATTCCCCTAGCCCTCTTGCCACAAACACCATACAAGACCAAACAAGGTCCAATTTATTCAAAATTTATACTAAAAAAGAAAAAAAAGAAGTTGTCAATAAAATTGAGCTAAAATTCTCTATCCCTGCAAGTTTCAACTTGTTCCTCTGTGACTTCAATCTCCTGATTTCTGGGAATGGCATTTTAGATACATACAAATAAGCGCATTAAATTCAAATGATACAAGAAGAGATACACAGAAAAATAAGCACCCACACACACACATTTGGACATCCAACATTTTCCTTGCTCTATCTCGACATTTTTTTTTTGTTTTTTTGCCTGTATTTAGAAGAATATGGTAGATGATATAGAAGAATCGACTCTCATTCTTTACTCAGTTGAATAAACAATTGAACTCCATTTTTCCGTTCTTCAGTTCACATATTTGAAAAGGTAACAATCAATAATTACAAACTGAAAAGATAAATCCATAAATCCGTCAACACAGTTTCTTCTCCTCCCCCATCCTTCCCCCCCAAAAGAACGCTGAAACATTTCCATTCGAGTTTGCTTCACAAGCATGAATTCCTATTTATGTATTTAGGTACATGAATATTATAGAGAGAGTAAAAATCTTTTCTGGGAAGGTGTCAAAAACTAATCTTTAAGAGCTCAAGTATCATCAATAGCCAGTAAAAATGTCAAAATACTAGACATTCATCGTGCACTTTTTTTGCAAATTTATCCAAAACTAAACCCAAATAAATATATAATTAACGAAACAATAAAATCATTATTTTCTTAGCATAATAGATTTTATTAGAAAAATCCACTTAAAATGAGTCTCTATGGGATACTTTTTATCTAATTGTAGGCTCCAACAAACTATTATTATTATTTTTTTGGATGGACACTCCAAAAAAATTTAAGTGGATTAAGAAAACAAATGCATACATAAAAACGATGATAAAGATAAAGCCTTTCAAAAGGGCATTGTGATGAATTTGAGCGCCACTTAACTTAGCTAAATTGGGTTTTGATACCACCAAATCTCACCTAAACATTCTTACCCCTAAATCTCACCCTAGTTCTTATTAATGAGACATTGGGTAAAGTATAAAGATTGGATAGTGAAATTAGATTCACTAAAGTATACAGTGAGAGTGCCAATAACAACATTAACTAAAGAAAATTCGAAAAATGGAAGTAGGAAGATTCCAAATTTCTGAAAAGAAAAAAGTTTTAGAAAATTTATAAATGAAGCTTGGAATATACTATTCACAAATTATTAGAAAATTAATATTACAGAAGAAAACACGAAATTACTCTTATGTAAACATACTGGCACTCATCATTTGAATATACACATTTGCACCTATATCGATTTAGATGTACATATTTGAATATTTGTATATGTTCAGCCAAGTGTACATTTTTTATTCTATTCGTTATCTGATAAGTGCACATTGTATGATCGGTAGTTTGTTCATTTAATGGTCTAGTCATTTAGTAGTAAATTTACTAGTTATTATCAGTAAAGTAAATGGTACCCCATTCACAAATTAACCAAAATTTTCACATTACTTATGAATTTTGAATCTTTTTACTTCCATTTTTTTAAAAAAATTTTCCCTACTAACTATTAGACAACCTTTTTTTATACGTATAGGTTTGAACTGATTTTGTGACAGATTCTGCTTCATTCATGTTATCACTACCATGCTTGCCAGTTTGAAAGTTTCTTCGATTCCATATACCAAAATATCTTTGGCAAAAGTTTCAAGCATACCATATGGGAAATCCATGTCTTTTGGTACAAAGACATTTATTTTCTATCTATACTCCTTTTTTCTTATTTTGATCATGTATAGTAAGTGACTTTTTACAACTTATTACCATTTTCATTTCTTGTCACTAATGTTCCATGTTATGTAACTATTTCTTGTCACTTATATGTGAAACACTTATGAGTTTAGTTGGCTGAATGTTTGAGCGTCTTCCTTAACTTGTTTCATGGAAATTTCAGGAGTGCTACAGCATTAATGAGTATGAAGAGTGCCTTTTGCAGGCTTCAATAGAAGCTTGAGAATTTTTTAGGGGTATACGATAAATCCAGTTCAACTGACAAACTACTGCGCCATGATCAATCACTTGATATTTCTTCGACCATGTTGCTATTTCTATGTTTTTTTTTCCGATTATACCTCATTATCAAATATAAACATATTGCGAGAAGTTACTCTTATTCTTATGACATAGTTTGTCTACGGTTAAAGTGTGTTGCATAGAGTAAAAAATGTTACACTATTTACGAACAGTTAATTTGATAACTGTCCCTACCCCGTCCCATTTCACATAATGGACACATTACGCTTTAAAAAAAAGGTGAAATTCTTTTAGTTAGAATAACTCAAAGTAAAATATGTCAAATCTGACCTTATATACTTGGCGTAAAGATCGATGAAAATATAGCTTTTGAAGGATGTTGAATTTTGCCTTTGAAGCTCTGATCCATATATTTCCACCAAGAGCTTATTTGGTAAAATGACAAAGCAAATTTTGAAATCTGAAAACTAAATTTTGATTGTTGAGAGTTTAATTTTTCAAGTGAAAACAAACTTTCATATTGTTCAATGAAGGTGAATCTGAGCTTTAATTGATATATCTCAATTAACAGGCATATTGATTGATGCATCTAAGTCCTTCAGCATGATACGATTTGAGCTAAAGAAATTTCATTTTATGTTTATTCTTTTCTTTCAACCATCCTCTTAAATTTTCTCAATGTTACATTGACATTGTGCCGTTTATGTTCAGTTTTTCCTATGTATTTTCATCTTAGCCTTACAACTATTAATTGTAGAAGCTATATTGATAACTCTTAGTGATAAATTTGTGCTTAATTTGAGTAATCAACAAAAAGTTGACTATAGAAGCTCCTTATCTATTTAGTTTCATCACTAACTAATACATGCATTAAACTGCTAAACTTACCATCTTGTTTAGTATTCAGGTACCATGTGGACCAATCAAACAAATGCAATCCATTTTCTAGTGCATTAAGCCATATAGTAAGCACATCAGCCAGGCCTGAAAATTGGAGATCTTATCAGCAAAGTTTGATGTATATCAATCTTAACTCAGGATCCACATCATGATTAGTTTTTTTTCTTTCTTTCTTCTTTCTGTTTGTTTTTTGGTAAGTGCCATGTAAAGAGTTATTACTACATGCATGCAGTTGTAGACCATCCATATATATTTTGTCTGCATTCGTGCCTATTTTTAACGTTAACAAGCTTAATAGACACCTTCTTGTTTTGCTAGAAAAAAACACATTGAGAAGAATAGACACGCAACTCTCTTCAGTTTCTTTTCATTAGTGTATGTTGCTCCAGTCGGTGCTTACTTAAGCCTGCCCCTGCCCCTCTCTTCAGTCAAACACAGATCAGTAGGTGAAATTCAAGGGCTGAGAACTTCAATTGAGGTGAGAAACTCACTTAAAACCTCAATCAAATTGTTGAAATGGTGATTCTCTTGATGCTAGATACATTCTTTCTTTTTCATTGATGAGCAAGAAATTTGTTTCTTCTGTTTAGGTTAAGAATGATTTTTATGGTTTGGCTACCCTAGAGATTTTTGGAAGAAATGCTCTCTTTGCTTTAGTTGATCTTTCTGTTTCAATTTTTATTTTGGGGTATTACTGTAGGCATGTGGATGCATCCTCTAATTTCTATAAATTTTAATCTTTTCCCAATATTTTCTAATTTCTAATCAATCACGCATGTTAATACATCCTTTAAATCCAATTGATTTTAATCTTTTCCCAAAATTTCCCAATTTCTAATCAATGCTAAAGAAGAAAGTAAAAGCTGAATTGATCTTGTATTTCATAGGCATGTTGCTGTTAATCAGAATCGTTTATCCTTCAAAATTATTTTTGGATTGAGAAACAGTGTTTGCCCCAACATTTTTCTTATATATGTATGAGATCTTTGGTTGGTCATATGTGCTTTTCAATTTGACGTGGCAAAGTATTATTCATTCTATGGATGTTGTTTTTCTAGCCAGAAAGATTCATATATTTAACAGTTTTGGGTATGTTTTGTTAGCTGTTCAATTCATAATCTTCCTCCCTTGATGTATTTATTCCCATTTCTCGCTTGCTTTTTAGTGATATAAATCATTTTTGAGTTTGCAAACAAAGTCATTTCAACAACGTATGACAATTTCCTGTCTAGTTCTTTTTTACCAGATTTAATTGACGGTGCGCAATAAGGGTGGCAATGAGGCGGGTTGGGGCGGGGGACGCCTCCCGCACCCCCGCCCCGTTGCCCATTAATTTCCCCCGCCCCCGCCCCGTCCCCTGCCCCCGGCTTCCCCCGCGGGGGCACCCGTGGGATTAAAAAAATTTTATTATATAATTTCATTATAATTAAATTTTAGTAAATAATCAAGTATTAAAATATCAACACATCATCAAATTATTATTCATTGTAACTTCAAAATTGAAACTCATAAAAATAATTAAATAAAAATTATTTGAATACAATCTAATATGATAAAACAAATATAACTAAAATAATCAAGTTTTTACTTTTGATACAAATACAATCACTAAATTATTATTGTGTTTTTTTTTAGAAAAAAATGTTATTGTATTAAGTGTAGTTAGGAATTTAATATAAATGTATTAATAAATTAAGTATAAATAATTAATAATTTTTATTAATAGACATGTATAATTAGTAGTATAATTGATAATAACAATTATATTACATATACTAATATATATTAAATGATACATATAACTAATAATATCATTATTATAAATTTATAACTAATTAAATTAAATATTATATATATAATTATGTACATATATATATCTTTATTTTTTTAAAACGGATGGCAGGGTCCCCCCACCCCTCGCCCCGTTTCTAAGTTTTTTCCTGCCCCAATTGCCCCCCGCGAGCCCCCGCCCCCATTACCGTCCTTAGTGCTCAACAAGATATGCCTTATGCAAAGTTTCTGTTTATGGTTCACAGCAATTATAGAGTTATTTAAAGAATTTCGATTTGCTTGTTTCACACTATTAATTGAATCAACAATTTTGGTGTATTTTCCTATTCTATTACTATATATATGTTTAGATTCGATGTGCCCATAAATCTCATAAATGCTAAGAATTTACAGGTAACAGTGAAGATATCATATCCATGTAGTCTTTATAGATATTTTTTAAAATGTAAATGTCTAAAAAATGACAGAATAACTTTTGTTCAAAAACAATGAATTTTAAGGTCAAAGCTTATCATAGACACCTTCACGCTTGTGTTAAATCCTGAATGACTGTGATTAACAATATCTACCATAAATCACATATTTATGATTTCTTTTTTCTCATTCTCTGCAATTGCTTTCCCAGCTAGCCATGAATTTCAAAAGGATAAATGAAGGGTTTCGACATGGCCAACTCCTTCAAATGATTGATGAGGTATAAGTTTAAAGAATCTTTCATACTTCATGCAGTGATGAACCAAAGTTAATTCCTTGTTTTCATTTTTTATTTTCAGGGTTACATAAACCTTGACTTTTGTGGGATTATGCGCGATGCATCAGCAACTGATCCTTCTTCTGTTGTGCAAATAATCCATATTTACTGTGCTGAAATGGAATCCCTGCTATTTCGACTTAACAGAATGACGTAATGCTTAAACCTTGACATTAAGTACTTGAATTTATTTGTTTTTTATTCAACTATATATGTTGCCTCATTGATTTTTTTCCCCCAGTAAGGATGGTTCTGCTGATTTAGCTGTGGTGACTGAACTATCTCGCACTGCAAAACTGAAAAGCGAAAGGTAACTTATCTTCTTCAGTGGTATATTCAGTTGTTGATGAAACCTATTTAATGATTATAGAAATTGTAACTAAAAGTTTTGTTGGTGAACTTAACTTTTAGTCATATATGTATAATGCTAAAATGACACCCAAAAAAAAGGACAAAAACAATCTCTAATATAATCTAAAACTATATTATCACAAGGGTTTTCAAATTTTATACTTGTATGCTGAGACGATTAATTTATCAATATCATTTTGTTGTTTTATCCGCGTGTAGGTTTGGTTATATGTTAGGTTCATGAGTAAAAAGATTATGTCCCACATTAGTTCGAGAGATGAAAAAAAAGTGGTTAATATATAAGTAAGAATTCAAAACCTAATAGCTTAATCTTTTAGGTCAGAGTTGATGGACTCTCTCGAGATGTTTCTCCCTAGTATTATAAACTAAGTCTCTATACGCATTTTAGACTGAAATTGGAACTCAAATGGAGTAAAACAATTAATTGCACAAGATTATGTGATAGAGCAAATGCACTAAGTTCCTCTCTAGTCTCTTCAAAGGAACGCCCACGCGCACACACAGATATGTATATACAATGATCACGGTTTCAAAACCTGTTATTTATTCATTTATTCTTTTGAGTATACAGAATTGGTGCTGAGCGTGTGCTGCTTGAATGCTCGAACCTCGTTCAAGCTTGTGAGAACAAGGACATAGATAAGTGAGAAATTCCCCCTTTATCCATGTTAAAAGTTGATATATTTCAATAGCTAAGGTTTCCATTAAGTGAATATTCAGAACCTATTCTTACCTTATTATTGAGTCTTTGTCAAGCTAGTACATTTGAATTCAAATGTTTTAAAGAGAAACCCTATCTCAATTGTTAGCTTTAGCTCAGATAGATGTTATTGATAACAATAGTTATTGTACTTCTATTGATACTACCTTTTCTTAGCATCCATGAGGCCTTGTTTTATGTGAAGAATGAGTTCAAGTACACAAAGACCAAATTGTTAGATTTTGCCAAGGTAAAAAACCATTATCAATTTTGTCAACTTAAACTTCGTTTCTTGGTATATAATGCTACACTTCAAAACTTACGATTTATGCCTGTTAAGTTAACTGCCCAACTACTTACTTCGCATATTCAATCTTTCCGTGGCATTTGCAGCTGCAGAAACGAATTGTCAACCTGGAAAATGAGGAGAAGAAAAAATGATCTCGATCCCAGCTTATGATGCTTTTTTGCAGCTACAGTTTCTGGTGGTGTGTCTCTTATTTGGTCATGATGGACCCTAATAGGAGTTAGACACCTGCTCAACGCCGCAAAGATTTTCACTATACATTTCTTAATCAGAACAAGGCATGCATGCATGGAAACAATGGTAAAGGACGTACGGCCAAGATCGGAACCTCAGAAAATCCAATGCCTTTTGTTCTTCTTGGCATCTGTGATTTTGGCGCGAATCTCTTTAATTCTTAATGGGAAAGAGGTTGAGAAATTTTAATTCTAGACTTGCAATTGCTTGTTTATACTTTTCCCATAATGGACTCAGCAGCCAGTTGGTTCGACCTGTGCATTTTCTCCGACCAAAAGCTCTAGAGATGGTGCTAAATTCAACTTCTTGGAGAGAACTCGTGAAGACTTCTTTTATCAAATTGAACGAGGGTTGATGAGATATATCGATCTAGCACAAGTCAAATATTGGAGCTTCTAATATTTTGCTCGTACGCTAACTGGATTGTCGGCTATAATTTTTTGCATTAGAATCGGAAGAATGAAAAGATTTCACGAAATTTCTCTAGGATACGCTTCTAATGGCACATCGCTTCGCTTTCCCTTCAATTCATACATGACATGGGATTCCATTAATCCTTACTGTAGTCTGGTCTGAAGACTGAAAAGCTGATCCTGTTCATGATAAATTACAAACAGTCAAGTTTTAGTCTTTATTCCACCTATATAGTCTGTAACTTTTGAATTGGGGTTACTTGATCCCGTGTACTTGGATTGAAATGTGCGTCCATGATTAGTTATTACGTTGAAAAAAGCTTGCCTGTCATGTAGAAAAGTATGAAAAAGTACTATATCCTGTATTGCATCCATATCCAATGCAAGATAATTAACATTTGCTCCAAGCATTTCACGCAGCTGATAGCTTGAGCTTTCTTTTTCACAGACTATGATTGGCACAATTTATTCTTCGCAAGAATCACAAATTAATAAAATTCTATTATATTAGTAGCATAATGTTTCGATGAGGGCATGATTTTCAAAAAAATAAATAAATAAATAAATAAAGGTTTTCTGTCAGGGCATAATGCTCCTAAGAACATGTAACAGGACTAGCTTAACATTCTTTTCATTTCGTGGGAAAACAGATGTATGGAAGAAAAAGAAAAACAAAGGGGGACTTATAAGGATTGATTTTGGTGGTATTTGATTTGAATTAAAAAGGGGGGACTAATTAGTTTTCTATGAAAAATTATTGTAATATTAAAATTTTGAATTTTAACAAACCCATCGAAAAATTGGGACTTATAACGAATTAAATCAAGGGGGGACTAATTGGGCCACCAATCATATTTGGGCCATGAGGCCTCCCAAATTGTGCGCCGATGATGACCAAACAAAGTCTGGCTCTCTATTGAAGGACCCGTTTGTGAATCTTCAGAAATAAGGCCTTGGAAACTTGCTTTTCCTCACCACTTTGCGCTCCAATTAGATGTGAAAACTTGTTCTACACCAAACTTCCCCACTGGAAAAGAACTCATCCTCGAGTTTCATGGAGAAGCTTGACGGATGAACCATGAGACAAAACAGCCAAGACCCTTCAGCGGATCTTGTAAGGACAATACTTGCGATGAAATCTGAGCAATTCGTACTAGAAATATAGAGGATTTAGTTTTCATAATTAATTTTCCTTGAAAGTAACACATAAGAATTCATTTGAATTCAACACTTTTTGACTTTTCATTTGGTACATGTACCAATATTAACATGAAAAACATGAATTTAGTACTTCAAGTGCATGAATTAATAGTTCCATAAATGAACTAACAAATTATGAGAAAATACATGAATGGTACTAATGAATCTTGTAGAGAGATGAATGTTCTTATGTATCGTGGAAAGATATATGGGTATCCACATTTATCATTTCATTAATTTCACTACAAATCAACAATTTTGGTGTATTTTCCGATTCTATATATATGTTTAGATTCGATGTTACCATAAATCTCATAAATGCTAAGAATTTTTTACAGGTAACAGTGAAGATATCATATCCAAATAGTTTTTGTAGATGTAAATGTCTTTTTTTTTTGGTATTTGTAAATGTCTAAAAAATGATGGCATAACTTTTATTCAAAAATACTGAATTTGAAGGACACAGCCTATCACAGACACCTTAATGCTTGTGTTACATTCTACATAGATTATTAAGTCTTGAATGGCTATATGATTAGCAATATCTACCGACACTCCCGTACTGACATACTTATGATTTTTTTTCATTCTCTTCAATTGCTTTCCTATAGCTAGTCATGAATTTGAAAAGGATACTTGAAGGGTATTGATATGGCCAACTTCTCTAGCTGATTGATGAGGTTTAAGTTTAAATAATCTTTTGTACATTATACAGTGATGAACCAAAGTTAATTCCTTCTTTGAATTTTTTATTTTCAAAAATACACAAACCTTGACTTTTGTGGGACTATGTGTGATGCATTAGCAACAAATTCTTCCTTTGTCGTGCAAAAAATCAACGTTTACTGCACTGAAATGGAATCCCTGCCATTTTGGCATAACAAGATGATTTAGTGCTTAAACCTTGACATTATTTACTTGAATTTATTTGTTTTTATTCAACTATGTTGCCTCATTGTTTCTTTTTCAGTTTTTTCCCTACAGTGTAGAAGGTTATATTGATTTTGCTGTGATGAATAAACTATCTTGCACTGCAAAACTAAAAAGCAAAAGATAACTTATCTCCTTCAATGATATATTCAGTTATTGATGAAACCTTTTTAATAATTATAGAAAGAGTAAATCTTATATGCACTGATAGTGTATATATTATCACGATTGGATGCACGACACATATGCAAAATTTGGGGTTCAAATTCAAATTTGAATTATGTGTCATGCATTTAATGGTGAAAATGTATACAATGTCAGTGTTTAGAAGATTAATCCTTATAGAAAGAGTTATAGAAATGGTAACTAAAAGTTTGAACTTAACTTGTAGTTATGTACATATAATGCCAAAATGACACTAGAATAAAAGGGCTAGAACAATCTCCAAATTAATCTAAAGCAACATTATCACAAGTGTTTTCAAATTTTATACCTGTATGCTAGATAATTAATTTGTCAAAATCATTATGTTGTTTTATACATATGTATATTTGGTTATAAACGAAATCTCAATATGCATTTTAGACAGAAATTGGAACTCAAATGGAGTAAAACAATTGATTGCACAGGATCATGTAACACAGCGAATGCACTAAGTTCCTCTCTAGTCTCTCAACACACAGATACATACATAAATACATACATATATACATCTATACATATACATATATATATATATATAACGATCATGGCTTCAAAATCTTTTATTTATTTATTTATTTTAACTGTACAAAATTGGAGCAGAACGCGTGCTGCTTGAATGCTCAAACCTCGTTCAAGCTTGTGAGAACAGGAACATAGATAAATAAGAAATTCCTCCTTTATCCATGTTAATAGTTGTTCAATTTCTATAGCTAAGGTTTGTATTAACTGAATAGTCAGAATCCAATATGACCTTATTCTTGATTTTTTTGTCAAGCAAGAGTACAGGAGTTCAAATATTTTAAAGAGAAACGCTATCTCAATTGTTAGGTTTAGCTCTAGGAAACACGAAATTTCTCTAGGATACGCTTCTACTAGTACATGGCTTCACTTTCCGGACGTTCATACATGACATGGGATTCCATCCCTTAATGTAGCCTGTACTTTGGTTAAAAATGAATTGAAGACAATGCAGTGAAAATGACTAAGTAAAAGCCAATGTGTATCTGAGGAATAAATTTCAGAGTCAAGTTTTACTTTTTATTCCGCCTGTATAGTCTGTAACTTTTCAATTGGGGCTACTTGATCCCGTCTACTTGGATTTGAAATGTGTGTTCATGATTATTTACTATGATTATTTTGAGAAAAAAAAAATCTGCCTGTCATGTGGAAAAGTATGAAAATGTATATCCTGTATTTCATCAACATCCTATACAAGAGAATATTTTTCCATCTTTGATCAACCAAATAAATATAAAACTACAAATTCTCAGAAAAAAAAGAAAAACAAAGATGTACAAGTTTGCAATGTTTATAAACTTGCACAAATCTTGAATCCATCAAGTCAACCATCCAAGAAATGGATGACAAAGTTAACGACCTATGTATTCACGCACGGGCAACCCACCGGGGAATTCAAGAACTACTGCAATCCTGCGACCATTGGCAAATCGGCCACTATTATAAGGGCCTCCAAAGTAGCCTGTAGAAATAGTTGTTGTAGCTGGCCTGGGAGCTGGTACGTCCTCCAAATTGCTATAACTAGGATCTCCAAAGTAGCCTGCAGAAGAAATTGTTAAAGGGGTAGCCGCCCTCGGAGCTGGCGTGTCCTCCAAATCGGTATTAGGACCTCCAAGGCCTGCGGAAGTAGTTGTTAACGTTGTAGCTGCCCAACCGGGAGGTGGGGTGTCCTCCGGATCGACATGATGCACTTGAATAGGAGACATTTTCCTCCTCAGCCTTTGAAGAATGCTGACTATAGAACCCTTTGTGAATAGAAAGCATCCCTTCATGCAATACCAAAGGAGGATCAAGTAGCCCGGTCCAAATACAAGTATAGCCAGCATAGTCACTGCATCCAGTCCGGCCATTACCTTCCTCGATCTCAAAGATCTCAAAGTCCGGCCATTACGTTAATGAAGCTTACAAGTGTTTGTCGATACATTATATGAATGGGAGATCTAGTTGCTACAAGTTGGCTAATACTTTATTTCAACTAGGTTTGGAAAAATAAGAATAGAAGAGTCAAGAAATTAATTTTGAAGTTGACTTAGGAAAATGAGTTTCAACTCATTAGGCAACTTCCTAACTTGTTCCTTTCTTTCTTTTTCTTGTTTGGTAATTAAAAGGAAAAAAATAAAATTCAATGCACCGACTACTGATAATTAACCTAGTTTTGGACATCCGGAGAAGGGATTACATGATACCCAAGTGGGCAAATCAAGGAACAGAGTTAAAATCGGACCAGCCTCTAAAAAGAGAGAGTCAATGCCAGGCAAGAAGTGAGACTACACCACATATATATGCAGATGTCCGATTTCTCATGGTAGTCTTTCTCTATAATGGCTAGGTGGGCTTGGTAGGGATGTGCACTGTGTTTTAAAACTCGGCCGGACCGGCCGGTTCGACCGATCGAGCCGAGAACCGGTCAAGTGTCCGGTCTGAGTCATGCTTAAAAATCGGGTAAGTAAAAATCCGGTCAAAAATCGGGTTTGACCGAAAAA